GCAGCAACCAGAGGCAATATTGACTTCTTAGTGCAGAACTCAAGAGTTTTACAGTTACAAGTGGCAAACACTTCTGCACTTGGATTAGCAGAGAATGTCTAATTTTTTTGAGGAAAAGGGAAAACTTTGAGAAACTCCCATGTTGAGGAGGAGTCCTTCGATCTCGACTCAGATTTTTGAGGAATCGGGGGGAAATCTCACATTTTGTGAGGAGACTTCCTCGAAATCTGAGGAGTTTTCGTCAAAAGTTTTCTCTTTTCCCCCAAAAATGAGACATTGTTTTTACCGTGGAGTAATTATTCCATTGTGCAAAGACAAACTAATCCATTCAGGAGGATTAAGCGTGTGTCGAGACATCCCATGTTTTATAATTTTCTGTCGGTGAATACTGCACGCCGTTTTTTCCCATGTGGCTTGTGTCACTATGAAGTCTTACCCTGAGGGGTCGTGTACCCTGAGGAAACATAATCACACTCGTATGCAACGACCGCACAAGAAAAAGGTGCGCGAACTGCGCGAGTTCGACACACAGTGGGTTGTCAGGTACCCTTACAAGTGATTGGAAATGTCAGAAGTCATCGAGCCCCCTCCCCCCCCCAAAAAAAAAAATAAATAACGTGCTGAGTTAAACATACGTTTCATTTCGGATTTTGTGCAAATAAATGAATGCACAAGTGTTCAAATCAAAGTAGAAATGTGTGCAAAAAATATGAATTCGTGCAAATAAAAATACAAATCCAGTTAGTGTTTGGCGCAAGTTTGGCGCAAGTTTGGCGCAAGTTTGGCGCGCGCGAGTATGCAAACACAGTCCTAGTCTCACGATGCAAAGTTGGCAAAGTATTCGCGAGTTTAGCCTGGGCCCATGAAGAACGAGATGGCGTGACCCCTCGGAAGTCACATGTCACGTCAGTGATTGGAGCGGTGACGCGAGAGTGTCCGCATTTACGGAAAGACGCCCCTAGTTTCCAGTGCAGCCCGGCTTGCGCTCACTTTCCTTTTCTTCTCTCTCGCGGCCGCCGCCGACGTGCCAGCCGGCCCGCCGCGGCCCGGGCTCCCCGTCACGCCCGTCACCACCGTCACGGCGCGCACTGACCGTCTTCAACAGCAGAAGGATCCTGCGCAATCCAGGACGGTCGGACTGGTGACGGCCAAACGGACGGACAGACGGACGTGCGACACGCAGCAGCTGCTGCTACGGCGGGGCATTTCCGGGGATAGGTGCGCCTCGCCTGCCGCCCGGGCTGGTCTCCTGCCCTCGGATTAGCCATCGTGACTCATGGCTAACGTCGCTAAAGGCGTTACTCTGGCGTGACGTACACCACCTGACCTGAGCAGCGTGGCGGGCCGAAGGCGGCGGCGCTTGGGCCCAGCAGCCAAGGCTCCCGCCGCGGCCCGCGGCCCGCGCCACGCCGGCCGCGGGTCCCAGGCGCGTCCTTGAGCCAGTGACTGCGGGGGGACGGACCCGCGGAGGCCCCCCCTCCCTCCTCATGCCCCTGGCCCTCGCGTAATGATGGGTCCACGCACAAAAAGTGTGTTTTCCGAATCAGAAATGGGCCTTGGTAATGGTAAATTTAGCAAACGGTTTGCTGTTTTCCAGTAAAACGTTTGCGGTTTTGCTGATAAGTACTATGAACCGGAAACCCAAATGTGTGCAGATCGCACTATTAAGAGGCGTATGAACGCCCATTCGTACACATGGAGGCACAAGGGCACAAGTGTGTAAATTTTAAAGGTAAATTCACATCTTTACTCCACGAATGGGCATTCACACACCTACAAATGTGCGGCTTTCACACACGCGCGTTTCCAGTGTAGAAGATGAAACGGTTTGCAGCTATAGGGAGACACAACTAGGAGCGAGCTTTTCTTATGGGAGCTCTTCTGAACTACTGCCTCCTCAGCTACCCCCGCAACACATGGGTCGGCTGGGTCCCGCCTATCCCTTTGCGTGGACCCTCGGAAGCCTCGGAAGCAGGTAGCCGCAGCCACCACCGCAGCAACATCTCCTCAGAAAAGCTCGCTCCTGGCTGTGTCTCCCTATACAGTAAAATCAAAAAGTTTTGGTCGTAGGTCCAGATGTTTTCACACACCTTTGTTGGAGTATCAAACTGTTTGCTAAATTTACTTGGGCCAACTTCTGATACAGCAAACTCCCTATATATTTGGTGTAATTAGTCTACGCAGTCTAAGAGAATGGGAGAGTCTAGCTAGAGGGTCGTGTGTGGAAGCGGGGTTTGTTGTTTTTCTCGGCGCTCTGAACAAAGCTCACCTTGAAAATGAGTCTCCTTCGAAGCGTCGGCAAAAATTGCCAAACGTCCTCGCTGCTGAAACGGATCTGATTCGACGGTTTTATGAAAGGTCATGCTGCACTTTGGAACGTAAAACTTAAAACCTAAATGAGGCTGATCTGAGGCAGGTGCCGTGATTCGTTCGAAGGAGCTATCTATCTATGGTCAGAGACGACAGGCCAGCTCTGGCACTCTGCAAATCTAACGCATAAATTTACAATTTTCTTGTGGTGTGTGAATGTTACAGTTTGGCTCTTCGGACGCGAAGTACTTTCCACCTCGAAATACTACATATAGATGCAAGACTAGACGCACGCAATACTTCAGATGGTGGTACCTCAGAGAATGAGATGTATTTCAGACTTTTCTTTTATGAAAAGTTCCCTGAAAATTTCTGGATGTTCGCTCACAGCAGAGGGGGGCGAAGAACCCCCATACAAAGACGCGCGTGTACTATAGGACGAGGACGGACACAGAGGAGAGCGGCAATCTCGCGGGCCCTTTTCAACGTGATGTTCTTTCATGACATTCATGGTCCCGACGACGGTCGGTGGTGGCGGTGTGGAGAGGGGGGAGGGGGCTGAGCAGGATTCGATGGCCGACTCGCGCTCCCAGCTGGGCCTAGTTAGGCCCTAGTGCCTTCCATAGAAGGCACCTGCAGCTGGGCGCGCTGGACGCAGCTGCCGCCAGATGGCTCTCCAGAACAGGAGGGCACAATAATAAGGCGGAGAGGCGAGAGGGAACAGGCAGAGCAGGCCATACGGCGTCCGCGTACAAATATGAAATACAAGTACTCGTAGATATGAGATTTGGGTGGTGTCCCATCTTGTGTCTGTCGCGTCGCGTAAGGTATACCTTACGGAGGGAGATTATCTGCGGGAAAGGGAAGTGCGCATGAAACGCGTTAGCATTCAATAATGTCCACGTTACCATGAAAACACGGCCTACAGGAAAAGGCGGAAAACCCAACTTTATTTTTCGAATGTGGACAATTTCCATAAAGACAGATGGAGAAGCAGTGAACATGTGCTGCATGTTCTTCCCATACAAGGAGGCGTCCAGCAGGCGCTGTGGCACTGATTCGTATATTACACATAGATCACGTGACCCACCAGTTCCCATAAAGCTGCTGGCTCCTCGTGGATGTGTGTCATCGATGAGGCCAGTGAAGAGTAGCAGTACTGCATGCTAAATAGTCTACGAAGCAATAAATCAGAATATGCCTGCGTAGAAAATACATGGAAATTAATCCGAAATCCCTTCCTGCTCGAACTGCAGACAAGGTGCGCAGTGGCGCAGGCCCCGGGGAGGTGCGCATGTCTATACGAATCTAGTGGGAGCAGTGAGTATGTGAGGTGAGCGGGGTAAGGGGGGTTGCCCTCATACAGGCGCGCGTGCTACAGTCTAGAAAATCGAGCGTGATGGAGGGCTGCCTAAAATGCAGGAGGGCAGAGTCTATGAGTCTATTGAGCGGGGTAAGGGTTGCCTTCATTCAGGCGTGCGTGATACAGTCTAGAAAATCGAGCATGATGGAGGGCTGCCGAAAATGGAGGAGGGCAGAGTCTAGAGGTCTATGAGCCGGGTAAGATGGGGCAGGGCGGGGCAGGGTCATGCACGCGCCACTTCTCTACAAAGACATTGGCTGCTGCAGCCGAGCCCCCAGCTGAGCCCGCTGGCCAGCAGCAATCAGCGCTCCGGGCCGACCTGAGGGCGGTCCTGGCCCTCCACAGGCACTCAGACAGCGAGGCGAACACACGAGGCGCCGTCGCCACATGCACGCCGAGCACGCCGACGGCGAGCAGCAGCGTGCCAAAGACAGGCGGGGCAGCAGAAGGCAGGCCAGCAGCAGAGCCAGAGCAGAGCCAGCAGAGCGCTGGCGGGGCTGGGCTGGCGTGGCGAGCCGGCCAAGAGCGGCAACGCCGCACCGCGTGCCATTCCTCAGCGGTCGGGAGAGCGGGAGAGCGAGCGAGAGAGAGCGAGAGCGGAGCAGAGTGGGAGGGAGAGAGAGGGGGAGCTGGCGATAAAGGGTGCGGCGGCAGGGCGGGGGGAAGATCGGCCCGAGGGCCGGAGAGGTGAGAGAAACAGAACGTGGAAGAGGAGAGCGAGAGAGAGAGAAAGAGAATCATTGCCGCGCGGGTGCATACGGCGGCGCCAGGGCGATGCGGCGCGTGACATAGTGGTCCCGGGCCTGACCTACCACGCCCCCGTGCAGGACACACCACACGCTTGTACCACACAGACAGACAGACACACACACACACACACACAGTCGGTCGCGACACTCACCTGCGAAGTCAGCCACGTTAGGGTCCGAGCCGGCCTCCAGGAGCCGACGCACCTGGCTCAGGTCCCCCTTGATGGCGGCCAGGTGCAGGGGCGTCTCCCCGCGCTCGTTGCGGGCCTTGGACCTCGACGGCGAGGGGTTGGCGGCGGGGCTGGTGGCCGCCACCGTCGGCCCCGGGCCCGTCGCGGCCCCCGAGCCGCCGCCCACTCCGTGGGCCGCCGCGTCCCCCGAGGTCGCCGCCTGTCCCGGCCCCGGTCCTGCAAAAGAGGAAGAGGCGCCTCCGTCAGGACAAGAACAAGTTTGTGACTGAGGCTCCCAGCGCACAACGCCGCGAGGTGTTGTGCACAAGGAGGCATCTGCTTAAAATTGAAGTGGTTCCTCGGAACAACTTTTCTCCCACACCGCTCGCGAGTTTTTGTTAAATTTCTCATGAGCACAGAGAACACACCATGTTCGAAAAGTTACACACGGAGGAGAGCGTACACATGAGAGAAGCTGGACGCGTAGAGCCGGATTTAGGTGGCAATTTTGAAGTGATCCATAGTTTCCACCATGGAAGTGACGCCGGGCGACGCGACAAGCGTACCAGGCGTACCGTCGCCATCGGTAAACGGATATTTATTGATCGTACGTACAGTGCTGTACGCCCCAAGGGACGGGCCCTGCTGGGCCCTGCCTGTGGGGAGGGGAAGGATAGGGGTACTCCTTCACGACGGCGCATATGTCACTGGCAGGCCATTTTAAACGTATATTACGAAACATTACCGTTCGATCAATATTTGTCCTTGGTTATGTGGAAGGATGTCATGCAATCTCGAGGTTGAATCCTAATTTTGCCCCACCAATCCAAGGTTTGCTGCGCCAGTGTTGCTGGATCAGCGCTGGATCCGCACCTGGCGCCCGCTGACGCGGCGGGACGGCGCGGCCACCGCGCTGCAGGCCGCGCTGACGGGCCGACAGAAGAGTAGCAAAAAACGCCCCCGCCCATCCCATGGTTCGTTTGTAGCGCGAAATAAAACTCCGGCGTGAGCTACAAAAAAGGTATAGAAATAAAAGAAGGGGGGGGTAAAAACTAAGTATTACAGTTACGCACGGTGGTGGGCTCGTAGTAAGGCGTAGATAGCGCGGCCCCGGAGGCCCCAAATATTCCAGTTTCATTACAAAGCTTACAGTGAGTGGGAGGAAGAGGGTTCTATAGAGCCACCCCCCCTCCCCCCCCCAGTATTCCAATTACGTACGTTACTAAGTGGGTGCAGTGAGAGGGGAGCAGAAGGGCGCTGAAGACACCTGGAGCTCCAAGTCTTCCAGTTATACGTTACAGTGAGTACAATGAAAATGAGAGGAATGCATAGGGCCCTGAATCCCCCCCCCCCACATATTCCAGTTATACGTTAGAGTGAGTACAGTGAGAGGGGACAGAGGGCCCTGGAGCCCCCAAGTCTTTCAGTTATACGTTACAGTGGGCAAGTATGAGGTAGGCAGAGGGCCCTGAAGCTCCCCACGAATTCAAGTTATACGTTACAGTGGTTACAGTGAGAGGGGACAGAGGGCCCTGGAGCCCCCAAGTCTTTCAGTGATGTGTTACAGTGAGCAAGTGTGAGGTAGGCAGAGGACCCTGGAGGCCCCTCCCCACGAATTCCAGTTATACGTTACATAGGTCACAGTGAGAGGGAGGTAGAAGGCCCTGGAGCCCCCCACCAATTCCAGTTATACGTTACAGTGGTTACAGTGATAGGGAGGCATAGGGCCCTGGAGCCCCCACCAATTCCAGTTATACGTTACAGTGGTCACAGTGAAAGGGAGGCAGAAGGCCCTGGAGCCCCCCACCAATTCCAGTTATACGTTACAGTGGTTACAGTGAGAGGGGGGCATAGGGCCCTGGAGCCCCCCACGAATTCCAGTTATACGTTACAGTTGGTACAGTGAGAGGGAGGCATAGGGCCCTGGAGCCCCCCACGAATTCCAGTTATACGTTACAGTTGGTACAGTGAGAGGGAGGCAGAGGGTCCTGGAGCCCCCTGGAGCCCCCTGGAGCCCCGCGGCCCGGCCGCCAGGGGCCGCCGGGCCTGGGGGTGGAAGTGAGAAAGACGACCCCCTCGTTGCCCCCTCCCCTCCCCGCCCCGCCCCTGGCCCGGGCCGGCAATCAATACCGTACCGCATGGCGAGACGTGGCAACGCCGCCTGCCCGGGCGGGGCGGGGCGGGGCAGGGCGGGGCGGAGAGAGGCGGGGCGAGGTGGGGCGGGGGAGCCGCCCGGGCCCTGGGACGGGCTGGCGGCGCGGGCTCCACGGCGCAGCAGACGATGAAAACTTAAAGGGGAACATCTCATCGGGAGCTACGCCCCGGCTACAGCCCGGCTACAGCCACCATGTTACGCCTAAGCCTCGCGGAGATAGAATCGGGTACCAAAGAGCTCCACGAACTACCCCATGAGGAGGTCTTCCCGACCGCGTCTTTACCTCGCCGGGAACGTCGTCATCCACTGCGCTCCTGGTCGCGAATGTCCCCGCGAGGTGCTCAACATCAGAGGGCACTTTGCGACCATCGCGAATGGCACTGAGCTCGAAAGCCGAAGCCTCTAATGTGAAAAGTTTTTATTTAATGGAGCAGAGGAGAGATGCGTCGACGCGAAAATGAAACCCGCGAGATGGCTGCTGCTTCGTAGCGGTGGCATCCCGGAGAAAAGAATTTCAATAAAACTTTGAGAGGATTTCACACCCTTTCTCCCGCGGGAAGGCATGCACGCCAGGTAGAAGGTGCACCACAGAGCGACCGTACTGTTCTTACAACAGCATGAGTAGTAACTTGCAAAAACTCAAAAGCGTCACTCACTTGGACTCGGGGGTAAAACGCGACACACAGACACATTGCGGGCCACAGAGAAGTACTCGAGGTGGTGCTCGGTTACTCGGTAGCACTTCTGCAAACCAATCTATACCGAGTATTTCGGTCCACGTAGTACCGGTTCGAGTGGGTTTGCCTACCTCACATGGCTGATTAGCATTGCGTAGTGCTGGTAGTGCTCTTTACCGACAATTTGCGACGATTTTTGGCAAAAAATGGATTTGCCAATTGTAACACGTCTCTGAACAGAACCAGTTCAACTAATGTGGTTTCTCCCGGCCGCGGGCGAGGAGGCAACCCACACGCGTGCATGCAGTACAGTATGAATATACACACAACAAATGTGCTTTACCTTCAAGAGGCACTAAAGGTTTAGTTTTAGTTTAGTTAGAGAGAGCGCGGGGCTAAAAGAAGCAACGCTTCTGGTGACCAAGCGTACGGGCAGAGATGCCTAATGTACCTATGAACCCTCATTGAAGTTGAAGTTGAAGCACTACTACACACTGTAGTGCCACTGCGACCCCCGCATAACCCCCTCAGAGGCAGCACAGAGAACATCTCGGCCTCGGGGCCTGGGCTGGCCTGGGGCCTGGGCCGTTGCTACGGCTACGAGCCACGACCAAGTACGTACTTCAGCACCCCGCGAGTTTACAAGCGCCCCTTTTACAAGAGCCAAAGGTACGTACTGCAAGAGGAGAAGGTCGACAGAACGGCCACTCGCGCGCATTTCACTTGTAAATGACACCAACGGGGTTGCCTCGTGTGTAGAGAGGAGGGGGGAGGGCGGGGGTCATCGTCAAGCAAGGAATCCTGCTCGACGGTCTGGGCTTTGCCCCCCCCCCCCTCCTTGCCTTTCACTGTTAAATTCCTACAAAGCATTTGCTTTGCAGAGCTGCAAAGTATTTTGCTCCTTTGTAGCTACGAAGCATTTACTTTGCAATTACAAAGTGATGCTTTGCAATTGCGAAGCAATGAAAACGCTGCAAAGCATCGCTTTGCAACTGCAAAGTGTCACTTCGTAATTGCAAAGCATCACTTTGTAATTGCGAAGTAAATGCTTTGTAGTTACAAAGGAGCAAAATACTTCGCAGGCATTTAACAGTGTTCCCTCTCCTCGAGACCATGGAAATTCGACAACCCGGGTTAGGGTCCTGTAATGACCCTGCCCCTCTGTCTATCTCTTTCTCGCTCTCTCACTCACACACACGAGCTCATGTCGCAGTGAGCGGCTGTGAACCCTCAGCGAGGGGGTACCTCGTACTAACTCGAACACCCAGGCCTGTATACTAAAGGCGTACTAACTCGTACTAAACAGCGTAATAACGAGTACTAATGGCATAAATCAAGCGCAATAATGCTGTAATGACATAATTTTGCAAAAATACCGCCAAAAATAGGCTGTACAAACGTGCACTAACGTACTAACTCGTACACTTTAATCAGGAGTGATTTCCCCCTCGGCCCTAAGCCACATCACAGGCACTGCCGCACCTACACTGTGGCACTGGCACCGTACTGTAAGGTACGCCGAAGTACGCACTGCAAGTACTCGCGTATACACCGGGCCCACGGCCCGCCCGGCCACGCCCAAAGCAAAGTGCGCAGGCCGCAGGCCATATAACACTGCAGCGGAATGTGCAGTTGTCGGTTTATGGCGCTATGCAATGGCAAACGCGTCGCGGACCGGATGGGCCGCGGGGGCCGCGTCCGAAGCGCTGCTCTCATCAGCCCAGCGGTCCCCGGCCCGAGCCTCGCGGGCAACAAGATAAGTCCTTCGGGACGCAGCCGAGCGCAAGCCGAGGCGCAAGCCCGCCCCGTCGTCGGCCGAGGATTACTTCCCAAACTCCTTGAGCCCCGACAATATTCTGTTCTCTCCAGCAGCGCCTCGGCGGGTATGGCGGAGCTGGTGACGTGGCCGACGTGGCGCTCAGCTCGCTCCCAAAAACGACAATACGAAAACCCTACGCGCCCGTGTGTGTGTGCGTGCCTTTGCGCCCGTGTGTGTGCCTTTGCGCGCGTGTGTGGATGGGGGGAAGGGGTTCACGGGCTTGTCCAAGGCAAGTACACAAAATGAATACAAATTCGGAACAGGTTTTTTTCAAAACCAGTTTCCTCTGATTCGCGCTCGTTTCGAAGGGAATGGGTTCGTAAATACATAAGTAAACTGCGGGCTGGAGTTCCAGAGAACTTGTAAACGCAGTTTTTACACACATCCAATTCCTCTTCAGCAAACATCCCCTCCCTCTCCCCGCAGGTTTTCCCTTCAGCGTTCTAACCAAGCTCACGGCCCTTTTAACACCATGTTCTAACAACTAACGTACAGTAGTGTCCACGTCATCGGTGCACTCCGTCGCCACGGCAGTAGCCTTCACCCCAGCCTTGCTCAGCTCATGTCGCCCGCCCCGCTGACTGAATGCAACATCAGCAATTAGTTTTCCCCCCAGCGCCGGGACATGACATAATTATAAGCGGACGCGCGCGCGGTGTACAAAAAAACGACAAGGACACTAAAATAAAAATTCCAAAAAATGGTGACTTTACTTCCGCCCTGCGACCCTGCAGCGCTCAAATATAGCCCCGTGGGGCGACCACCCGCGACGGTATTTTCGTTATTTTTATAACCCTGTCTCGCCAGGTTGCCCCAGCGCCGCAAAAATATACACGGCATAACGGGCGGCGGGGGCACGGCCAGGCTCGAACCCTGCGATGCACCTTGACTATTTACGGATAGACCCCCCTCACCCCCGAAAATACTCGGACACACACACACACACACGCGCACGGGCTCTTTACCGGTGCGACCATATGGTCACCGACTGCACGGAGTGGCACACGACACGTTTTAGGGGTTGGGCACAAATTACCTGCTCCGTCATTTTCTTCACAGGGTGATGGGGACAGGATGGGGACACATACTTGTTCACGGCAACTCTGTTCAAAACTTGGAGAGTTGAAGCTGAAATGACCGCGTGTTCGGAAGAGCATGAAGTACAGGGCCATGGGCGCGGTTCTTTCTTTCAGGTTATACTGTAACGGATGCAGGCGTGCGTGCGGGCTTGCCTATCGTCGCTCACTGAGGCGGCCGAGGCGCCTAGAAGGCCCCGTGCGAGTAGCGAGTATGCAACCCGTCCGCACGCCTGCAGACGAAAGGAACGTCGTCGATGAACCACCCTGTAGTATATACCAGGTGGCTGACTCACGCCGCGCACTTTCGTAACTATACTGTACCGCATGCACGGGTGCGGGCGGGTTGCGTACACTGTAAACCCGGGGTGTCCAGGTAGGCGACATAAGTCGCCTAGTTTTGCGGGTCAGGCTACATGCTGGACACTCCGGTTTTACAGTGCACTCGCACGGGGCCATACGGAGCCATGGGCAGCATCACACACCCAGAAAAGTGTTTCTTTGAAAAAACATAAGGAATTTTTGTCCTTGAATCAAAGAAATTCCATTGTTTCAAAGTAAAATTGCCCTTAAAATAAAGAGTTTTCCTTGAATTAAGCAAAGTTTTTCCTTCAGCCAAAGAAAACATTTCGTTATATTTATTTAAGGAAAATTTCCTTAATTCGACGCTAATTTCTTTAACTTAAGGCAATTTCGCCTTGTTTCAAGGAAACGATTTTCTGGGTGCAGGAAAACCCGACGGCACCTGTGCATGCGGTGCGGTACAGTGTGGCAAACGAAAGTGCGCGGCGTGAGCCAGCCAGCTGGAATGAATCCCCTCGGATAACATTTTTCCTGAAGGGATACACATTTTAACATTTCAGTGGTGTTCGGAGAACTTATTATTACTATTATTGAACCCATTATCCAATATTCAAGGTAAGAAGGCCCGTCACGCGCCCACTAAACACGGAGTAAAATGTGTACGGCAAGGCACCGTTCAAGTTCCTGTACATACGTTCAACATAACGAGTCCTAGAATGTGCGAAATCCCCTGTCAAAACTCGCCGTCGGCGCGAAGTGCACGATGGTTATTGGACGACGACGATCATGACGATCGAACCGAATCGCAGCAGCAGCGCCGCCAGCGCCGCGGCCCACGCACACCCCATTCATTAGGCAGAGATACAGACAGCTGGATTAGAATGTTAAAAGGTCATGCGTTGGCGCGTATTTTTTTTTAAAGATGTGTTTTTATTTTCGGGAAGCGAGGGGGGGGGGGGGGCAAGAAAAGCTTTTCTAGCGCACGTGTCGGGGCTGTGCGCCGCACGCGCGCGGCAGATGAGGGAGGCTGCTCAAATTTTAACAGTGCTCAGAGTGATAGATTGATTATTGATACGGAGGCGGATTGCGCTGCCGCGAGGCGTCCCGGCGCGGCGCGCGGGCGTCCTCGCCGCCTCGCCGTCACGCCCTGCGCGCATGACTCGCGCCTCGTCGGTGAAATGGAACGGGATTTAATGAATGAATGAATGGATGAACGTCATCCGAATCGTTTCGGACAAGCTGGTGTATGTGTAAAATACTATGGCACTACGGCTTTGCTTGGTATGATGCGCTTCATCTGAAAACAGCGGCGGAATTTATCTTTCCCCACAATCGAAGCGCGGTGTGCGTCATTCAAACAAAGTAATTTTCTAAAAACATCACTCAAGCGTCGCCCTCCCAACGCTCTCCCCATAGAAACTGAAAAGCAATACGTCGCTCTCCCAAGGACGGACGAGCGTGATTCCTGCAATTTCAGTGGGGGATCGCGATTTTCCTAGTCGGCCGCAGCCTTGCAAGCGAATTTGCCCGCGCCCACAACGCACGCGCCTCGCGCAGCTAGGCGCCAGCGGTAGAATAAACATTCAATATTATCATGTGACAATGCACACACGCGGAGAGCTCTTACCTACAACCCTTCCGCGCAAGTTCCATGCCGAAGCATGTCTGTCGCCCACGGTCTACAATAGGGAACTTCGCAGTGGAAACTGTATGCACCCAAAGTCAGTGGGTTTTTAATCATCCAAAAAGTCCAGCTGTTACACAACGGTTGTACACCATGGTTGTCTTTAAAAGTATTGGGGTAAGAAATTCCGAGAAGGAAAATGAAAACACGACGATATTCTGTGCTGGTGCCGATAAGGCGAGCGGGCCGCGGCGGCCGGTCGACACTTTGCCCTGTAGTCTGCTGGACGCTGTGCGTGAGCTCGGGCTTACAGGCCATTAGAGGGGCCCAAATCGACATCAAACGCTCCGTCACTACTCAAATTAGGACGGATCGGCTGAAGTTCGCCAAGTCGCATGGTGTGCGAGGGGGGGCTCTTGAGTCGGCGTGAGCGTCCTCATCGGGGAGGCAGAGGCCAGAGACCAGAGACCCCCCCCCTTTTTTTTTCTCTTTGCTGCACCCGTGCACTTGTGATGGCCGACTCCTCCGACTCGACAAGGGGACGCAAGCGCCATCTAGCGGGTGGGCTCCCTCGCGCGCGTCCATACCCCGCGCGCCGCGGGGCCCTGCCCTCCGTGGCCCTCCCCGCCGTAGAGTCGAGCTTCGGGTGCACGCCCCCAGAGCGCGCCCCGCACATCCTGCTCTAATGTCAGTCTCTCCATGCATTGTTTCTCACTCTCTCCCCCTCTCTGTCATTTCACGGTGGCATAATAAAAGCCCCCCCCCCTGACACTTCTCACTCACGACGGCAGCCAATCGGCTGAGAGCCGAGACATCGCCAGCAGGCTTACCGCCCAGCTGACCGAGAGCAAGAGGTCCTTGCACCTGTCACTGTGCCTGTGCTGCTGCTGCTGAGGGTAGCCCTCCTGTGGAACAGCTCTCCTCCAGGTCCAGCCGCTCAGGGGGAGAGGACATCCTTGTGGCCAAAACGGCCACCTTAACGTCCGCTAAAACGCCCGGCCGCCAGCTCAGCACCCTGACCACCATCATCACCTTAACCTCAACTGTCATGTGTGCCAATTGAGACAAGAGTAGAACAAGAAGAGAATCCTCTCCTCACAATAGTCCCGAGTCCAAGACCATGACTTTGGATAGTGAAGTCAGAGTCAGACATTGGAAGCAGCTGACCCCACCCCAGCCCAGGTTCCTATAGAGTTTAGCACTCACCTTGGTTGTCATCGGATGTCATCTGCATCAGGAGTGCCAGTTGCTGACGTTCAGACACAGGAGCAGTAGCTCCCCGTATACCCTTGGAGATCTTTGCACGAGCTGTAGAGCCGGGCATTTTGAACTCATCACCTTGCTGAACGGAGCCTAAAGAGGAAGAAAGAAATTAACATTTAAAGTAAGTTATAGTACGTTGTGGGTGAGGTTCCACTTCAATATAGTTACAAAAACAAAATAGCTCAAAAATACTCTTGATGTCCCTTTTAGTCATACGAAAGATGTGTTTCCAAAATTAAAACTAAATATGTTTCAAACAATTACGTTTTCTAATTCTAAACTTGTCTAAAATGCAATAAAGGTCTTGTAAAAAGATACAGACTGAAAGAAAAGCTTGTTTTGTTCAATATTTTTACTTAAACCTGAAGCAAATTGTCATTAAGTAACTTAACATTATTTTCAGACAATAAAATAATTGTTTGACACTTGTGTTTGATGCAAAGTGACCTTCCTACTATGACGAACACAAAAATCTTACCATGAAATGGCTACAGTTAGATGTCGATAAAATACTACCATTGTCAAAGCTTGAGCGCTTAAAGCTTTAAGCACAGAAGAACTCAGTCAGCGAGCAAATGTTAAGGTCAACTCGAATTTTGTAAACCAATCCACTTCATACGACAGGGCGAGGACGCACACCTACTCAACAGAACGACACACAAACGCACACTGAACGGGCGCCAGCGCGCCCAGATAAGAGTGCAGAGCAAGGGCTTTGAGGTTAGATGCTTACAACACGGGACACTTATGCTGCCTCTGCAAAGCTGTGTGGATGGGTGTCAACATGTCTCGAGCCCCCTCCATGAAAAATACTAGTAGAATAACTGTTTTTTACTGCTATTGACTGAAATTTGAGTGACAAATGGTAGAAATCGATCGCGAACGACCACCAGAAGTGCGGGCTGGAGTCACTCTTGCGCCCCAAAAAATTGCCTTATAAGCCTGAAAAGTGATTCTGCGATGTGTAAATTGTGTATTAATCAAACTTGTCGATACTAAAGTGCTTGCGGAAGAAATAGTGGACGATTTTTGGTAAGGCATGCACCGGCCAGAACAACATTCCTTAACGTTCAGACAGATGCTGCTTATAACAACGTCTGAAAGTTATTCTCTCCTTCTCGTAGGATAACAAAGAGTAGGCAGATATCAACCTCACCTTTTGTACGAAGTATTAAACCAGTTTTGGCCCGTGAAATGCACAATATCGGAACGCTACGATTTCAAATTCAAATCGCGACAAATCACAACAAAAATACGACGCACTGCCTTCTGTAACTGGAGGTTCTCCTCTCTGCTCCTGTAGCGTGGAGCGTGGCCCAACGACTTCTTTCGGACGCTTGAGGATGAGTTTTCTTTCATTCTGTTATTTTCAGACTTCTCCTGGGTAGACTCGCACAGAACGGAACAGATAAAATTGGATTTGCTGACACAAGAATTATTGGCTGAATTAGCAGGACATGCGATCGAGGATCGACTCGTCTTTTGCGCGTTGCCAAAGTTCGCCTGTTTGCTTCAACGCATGGTCGACGTCCTTTTCTCCATCTACTATGTTCGCAAACCCTTCCTTCGACTTGGGCGGGTTTGCTTCGCTCTGCATGCCTAGACTTTAAATCTACAGGTCAGCCCAGCTTGCTGGTGAAAAACGCTGATTATGTCAGTTTCGAGGGATGTTTTTGTTACGCGCTGACACAAGCTGACAACAGCGCAGAAAACAGCCGTTGGCGCGCTCTGAACAACGTCATGAACGCCATGGGGGGGGGGGGGCAAAATGGGGCAAAACTGCAAAAATAGGGGGTAAGGGGTTGACTCGACAGGGTGGGGTGCGAACGGGTTTGCTGCATGTCGCCTAGAGCCATGGTGCCTTACGGCCCCGTGCGAGTAGGCAACCCGCCCGCACGTCTGTCTGCGGGCCAGTATACGCGTTTGCTCCAACGGGGCACAACGACCATCCCCCCCCCCCCTTTGTCCCGGGTGAATCTCTTCAGTTCTTGCGGGACTCTATTCTTGATACTAGGGCCGCAAGGGGGCCATGGTGCCTTAAGGACGAAGGGAGTAGGCAAACCCGCAACACAACTGGAGCGCATTTAAAGATTCGTCCGGTACCTGATCACATACCGACGTGAGAAACCTAAACTCGCCTCCATTGGGGGGGGGGGGGGTCGTGCTTCCCTACTCCGCCTATTTGCTTATCCAACATCCAAGTCACATTGAACAATCATGTCAAATTTCAACTAAATGAAAAAAGGGGGTAGGCAGGGGCATACACGACCACGCCTTCTATACTGTAGTGTCACTGATGTCATATACCGACGTTGATGTTGAAACAACGCTAAACTAGAGACTAGAGACCGTTATAACTATCTGCCGGAAACTACCTGTATATTTGAAATGTTTACAAAATGAATCTAGATTTTGACGTAGACTGTGTGTTTGGATATGGCCTATGACCCGGTGGTTGATTCGCCCGACCCACTTCCATAGTATACTGTACCGGTATGCACTCGTGCGGTCGGGTTGCCTACCCACTCGTCGTCAGGCGCCATGGCTCGAGACGAATTATAAGCAAACCCGCGCCGCGAATGTTGACGGGGCAGATTGGCAAATTAGACTTCTGGCAGCAATTGTGTGGGTACGTAACCGCAGTGTGCTGTGCAGACTATGACTGACCTATGTGCTGCATCCAAACATGAATTGGTTTTACACAGACAGGAGGGTTCTGGTTCTATCTAGTCTGTGATCCGATAGTGTCATTCTGGTGATTTCTCGGCGATCTGATTCTTGTGGCCCGTCCGCCGCCTCACCTACCGTGACCTTGAGCTGTTTTGTCCGATGGAGAATCAAGGTGAAGAGAGAGCGGGGGAGGCGGGGGGAGAGCCCAAAAAGGGGATCGAAAGAGGGCGCGGACGGCAGATGGGAGCGCGTGGAAAGGAGAGAGACAGAGGCGCCTCCGGGGGGAAAGGACGGAGAGAGAGGATCGATAGACGGACGCGGTGATGCTGCGGACTTTAGAGGGATGGAAAGGGGGGGG